ATTAAAAAAAAATATTAAATGCAAAATTGTAAAGTTTAATTTCTTGCATAGATCTGATAAAGTTTTATTAATTTTCTATGAATTTCCTAGATTTCATTTAGGACTCGAGTTGCTGTTTTATATTTAGTGCTGTTTTATATTTAATGATCTTCACAACAAAAGTTTGATATTCTAAGATTAGAATCGAAAATTCAAACTCAATAAATATTAAACTTTTAAGTTCAAACACTAAGTTTTGAAGTTCAATTTGAATTTCAAACTTGGTGCATCTAATTTCAAGATTAATTTCAAATAAAAATTTTGAAATTTTAAGTTTATCACGTAATTTTAGTTTCTGATTTGAAGTTTGAGTTTCAATACAAGAAATTCGATCATACATTTAACACTCGATTTCAAATCAGATCATACCATCTACGAAAAAGTAAAGAAGTTTAAAAAAAAGTATAAAAAGTGAATAATAAGAAACAACTAAGCTACTATAATCTAAGCAGACTAATTTAAGATTAAGACGACCTAGATAAATGAATTTAATCGCTAAAAGAAACTGAAGGAAAACGAATCAATCGGCCTCACGGTCGTGTTTCAACCACGAGAGACGGAAACCATTTTTTTCTGCTTCTCGACACTCGGTTTAATTAATTATACACCACTGCTGGTCATTCTTTTAAATTATAACAGTCTTTACTAATAATAATTTCCTAGCACATGAAGAATTAAAATTTATCATTTATTCCACTAGCACAGATGAGAAATTATATTTCGAGAATACTATATTTAAAAATACTTTTAGAATAAAAAATTCTAAATACTTATTTAAATTATCAATTATATAATTGGTAAATAATTACCAGTATTTATGTAATAATAAATAAAGCTTAAATAATTAATACAACTTATTTCAAGTATAATTATCATTTTGAATGTGGTTGTTTAAATTATGAAATATTCTTGAAATATTCTTTAATTCTATGTGCACGCATTAAATCAATGTGCAAGGTATTAAACTGTAATACTATTAAATTTTAATATACGTCAGTATATAAATATTTTTAATAAAACGTAACCAGCATTGGCGTATATAGGCAGACGAAATACATACGTATACACACATATACAAGTACACACAGTGGTAAAGTATATGAAAATACACAAGTATATGCGAAAGTACACGATTACGGAATTTGAAACAGAAAACACAGGCGTAAAGTATATAAGTAAATGGATACCAACGAGCATTTGTTTATACGGCGCAATTCAGTGGAGGATAAGTGGATAAATAAACGAGAAAAAAGCCGTTGGTGCTTTTATGTCAACCTTCGATAATATTTAATTGCTTTTTTATAATTTTCTCGAAAATTAATTCGAGTCTTAATAGTTTTGGTACTTTTATCTCATTAACTGACCTAATCGTATACGCTTAAGTTAATTAAAACTATCAACATTGAACTCAAATTTTTATTAGTTTTCCTTACTAAACTCAATTTCATCATTTTATTACCATTTTATGTAAAA